TTTTTTTCCTGCAATGCTATTATCAATCTATAGATTTGACTGGCTGCAATGTTCTATATTGAAAATTAATATTTTTATTTATGAATTCTAAAAATCTTTACTGATCTATGTTCATGGTAGCATATTTTTTTTTGGGGGGTTCCATTCATATACTTGCCTGCTATTTCTTCAAATAGAGTTCTTGGAAGCAAAGTGCTTATATATATATGCTTGAATCTGATGATTCCTGCTGTTACAATGCCTTATTTGTTTTATACCCAATTTTTTATTCTGAGCATTTTATAATCAGGCAGATCCCTTGCAGCTTGTGAGTTATTGCATAATGCTGGTTATGAAAATCTATTCTGGGTTCAAGGTGGTCTTGAGGCTGCTGAAGATGAGGTGCTCTCTCTCTCTCTCTCTCTCTCTCTCTCTCTCTCTCTCTCTCTCTCTCTCTCTCTCTCTCTCCCCTTTTTCTTTTTTCCCCTTTCAGTTGCTTGGGTTTTGTTTAGAGGAACGCTTTTTCTTATCAACCCGTATTATGCGCGTTTTCGGCCTTTGCAGCTATTGATTTTTTGTGCCTCGCATGGATTATTATTATCTGGAGAATTTTTACGTCCCGATAAGTGAGGTTGTGATACATCAACTTCCATTCTAGAGTTGCATTTTACCAAAAAATAAAAGCAAAAAGACTTTAGATTTAGCTGAAAACGCACATAGCGCTATAGTATATTGCAAAATTTGATTTTCCTCTCTGTTAAATTAGGGGCGTTGTTCTTTTCTTGTGCTTGTTAATTAGTTCATATGATTTGTTATCGTGCCAGGATCTTGAAAGGGATGGCCCACAGCCCTTTAAACTTGCAGGAATTGGTGGGCTTTCGGAATTCCTCGGGTAACTTCAAATCATCCTTTCATTCTTGAAGAGTGTTTTGAAAAATCACTTAAATGAAAGGTTATCAATAGTTTCTTCAGTATCTTCCAATCGAATGATTTTATCAGAATATAATTCAATGTTAATTCATCTGATGCAAGTTATAGCAAGGTTTGCTAGTCTATTTACGATGAAAAAAAACTGTTACTGATTTTTTTTACTTTTTGTTTTTAATGATGGTTTATGTATTGTTAGGTGGACCGATCAGCAAAGAGCTTTAGCTTCCAAGGAAGGCTGGGGCTACCGATTAGTTTTTTCTGCTCGTTTGGTAACTAATTCTTGTCCTTGCCCAAATTCAATTGGTTCGAATTAAAGTAATTATCAGCATTTTCACAATTTGGGGGAAAAAAAACATCGTTTGCAGATTGGGCTCTTTCTCGTTGCTGATGCGCTATTTCTCGGGGTGCAGCAAGTCGGCCATTACATCCAGGACTTCAGATCTCACTGAAGGATGCTTCATGAATTGTGCCTCAAATTTCGTTTAATCCAAATCCAGGTTCATATTTCTTTCGTTTTCAGGTTTTTTTCTGGCATTTTTTGCTCTGTCAAAGTCATCGAGAAGTACAATCGACATTTTGTAGATTTGGATGTAGAAGTTGGTGAAATTCAAAATGTTTTTCCATATTGATCAAGGTAACTTATTCTCATAATTTTATGAAGTTTTGAATCAATCTGAGAGACATCGCTAGAAGGTCGATGGAAATGATTTTTTTCGTTACAAATCGCATATATATGTTAAGTATGAGATTACTTATTGAGACCTCTGCGACATGTCATGTTATTAAGGCAATTTTCATGACGAAAATGTTTCCAAGTAAAATAACGAGCAAACTGTAAAAATGAGGAAGCATAAATATTACATTGCAAATGATTCTGGTAGCTCCTAAGCGTCTGAGTCGATTCCAAATCGACTCGATCTCAGTCAAAATTTGACTATTTCTCGACCAAACAAACAAAAAAGAAAAAAATATACCCATATCCAATTAGCTAAGCATCCACGCGTCTTGCGACAACGACAAGAGGCTCCTTCTTCCCGATCGTGAACCCGGGCCTCTCCGTCGCATCCAGGTCCTCCCTGCGGGCCCCACCCGGAAGCTCGAAGTCGAAATTCTTCACGAGGTTTGCCATCGTGTGCTCTATAGCGGCGGCCGCAAACCCGATCCCTGGGCAGATCCTCCGCCCGGCCCCGAACGGGATCAGCTGGAAATCGAACCCCTTGAAGTCGACTGTCGAGTCCAAGAACCTCTCGGGCATGAACCTATCGGGCTCTTGCCAGCATGTTGGGTCCCGCCCGATGGCCCACGCGTTGATCAAAACCATTGTCTCGGGCTCGATATCGTACCCCAGAAAGTTCACGTGCTCCCGGGCCGCGTGGAAGTATATGGCCACCGGCGGGTGGGCCCGAAAAGTCTCTTTGATCACGGCCTTGAGGTACGTCATTCTCTTGATGTCGTCTTCGGTTATTCCCATTTTGCCCTTCGTGACCCCTCGCACTTCGTCTTGCAGTTTCTTCATCACATGGGGGTGGCGAATGAGCTCCGTCATCACCCACGTTAGAGTCCTTGCCGAGGTCTCGGTTCCCGCTCCAAGAACATCCTGTCTTTCCGAGATCGATTATATATGTGTAGAAAAAGCGAAGGGAAAAGAAGGAACAAAAACAACCAATTCTTTTCACCGTAATAACAGCTTTGACGGATATGAGGTCGATTGACATGCCCGAGACCTCGCCTTTATATATCCCGAGCAATATATCCATAAAGTTCTCCTTGTTACAACTCTCTTTCTCCAAGTGATCTCTAACCACATTGCTCATAATCTCGTCGAGTTCCCGCGAGCATTTGTCGAGGGCCTTGTTGAACCCGTTGAGCCCGTTGATCCAAGCCAGCCACGGCACAAACTCCCCCAACGTGAAGTTGAACATGAGGCCCACAGCACGGTCCATGACGTCTAGAAAATTCTCCCCGTGAGAAGTTTCCATATGCTTCTTCCCGAACGCAGCCCGACAGATGAGGTCGTTGGCCAGGGTCATGAACTCGGCCGACAGGTCGATCGGGCCCGGTCGACTCATCCGCTCCACCAGCAGCGAAATCTCGGTCTCGCGGATCGAGTCGAACGAGTGGACGCGCGCGGGCCCGAGAAGCTCGTGCACGAAGATACGGCGAAGCCCGCGCCACTTGTCGCCGTACTGCATGTTGATGGGGTCGTTGAGGTCGTAGAATAGCTTGCGGGGGGCGCTGAGGATGGGCTTGCCGGCAAAGGCGAGGTCGTGGGTGCGCATGACCTCGCGGGCCGCGTCCGCGGAGGATATGACGAGGACGGGCTTAGACCCGAATTTGAGGAGCATGGTGGGCCCGTAAGTTCGGGAGAGGCCGTGGAGGGCCCGGTGAGCAAGGTGGCCCAGCTGGTGGAGGTTGCCGATGATGGGGAGGGTTGGGGGAGAAGGGGGAAGCCTCTTGGTGGTCTTCGGCTTGGGCTTGGGCTTGGGCTTGGGTTTGGTGAAGAGCCATGCATAGAGTATGAGTGTGAGGGTGATAAGTAATGTATAACATTGGAAGTTATCCATTTTTTATTTATTTATTTTATTTATTTTTTTGAGTGTTTTTTTTGGAAACTATAGATATTGTGTTTTGGACTTGTCAAGACTAAAGAATGGTTGTGTGTTGGGAAAGAGGGGAGCTTATATAGTTGATATAATACGGTTTTTCGGTTTGTGTGGCGTGCAGCTCTTTGGTTTGGTCGTAATTTCTAGGCTAATATGTTAGACTTTACAATTAGTGTACTATAAACGGATCATTAATTGAAGTTAGGCTTGGGAGTTGCGTGAATACAAAGTTTGTCAACTTGACATCTTTGCTATATTTTTTAAAAACTTTATGAATATTCATGGTTCAAAATAAAAACAATACGTAAATTATTTATAAACGAGTCATAGATTAAAAAGTAAATCAATTTAGACTATGTTTGGTAGACAAATAAGTTAGCTTATATCTTACTTGGTAAGCTACTAAGCTCCCTGTATTCAAATAAACTCTGTGTGGTAGGACGAATTTTTTAAAAAAGCTCGATTTTATTTGATAAATTTCTTTGAGTAGCTTTTCAAATAAGATCGTTGAAATTTGTATTTCACCTAGCTTATCAGCTCATCTCACCAAACACTTTTATCATATAAGCTAATTTTTTAGCTATAAGTCATAAACTATAAGCTATAAGGTCAAAAATTACTGATAAACTATAAACTAGCTTATCAGCTATTTATACCAAATATAACCTTGACAATTAGAGCTGTCAAATGGACCGGTGGTACTGTGTGGCCCGAAACTTGCCAAAGCCCACCATTGGCGAGGCGACACGCCATGCTGGTGGGCCTAGTTAATTGCAGCTGCCCAGCCCTGCATTTTTTTTTGTGTGGTCTTCTCAAAGAAAGATACCATTATTTATAGGACTAAGGTAATGTAATCAATATATTTAATTTCACATAAATTAATAAACTTAAGTTAAAGATAATTTCATTTTTAATAACACCAAGTCACAAGTTTTTGAGAGTAAAGTGGAAGACACGGTTTCAAAATCAATTCTTCAGTTACAATTTTATTCAATTTTTTTTCCAACACCTATTTCCAAATCAAGTATACTTTTAGGTCTAAAATGATTCGGGTGGCTCTGGAATGATTGAGTCGAATGGAACTCGACTCGATCTCAGCCAAAATGGAGCCAAAATTTGACCATTTATCGCTCATTAAATATAAAATCTATCTCATAATACCAAACGAGATAGCTTTATCGGCCGCCTCTAAAAATTTAAAAGCTATTCATAACTACAGCTTAGGACATGCAATTGGAAAATATGATAGCCGAGGTTCTCACGAGACTACGGCTTAGAGCATCTCCAATGGTACATGGATTGTTCTCTTTCCATTGCCACATAACCTCCAAAATTCAACGTAGCCTTCAATAGATCTAGAAGTCTTTCTAGCTAGAAAGACTTCTAGACATCTTCCACTTAATATTTTATTATTTATTTTATATTTATGTTTCTACCAACCAATTATTATATTACATGTGTCAAATTATCTAACAATTGAGATTAACCATTGGAGACAAAATATTTTCTTTTCCTTTCTCCACATCATACATCTCAAAATACACATCAAGCCATTGGAGATGCTCTTAGGACTAGCAATTGGAGTGCCGAATTTGTCGGCTGACGTGAGAAGAATGTCACTAGGAAAATGCAAGAGTTTGGTGGTTAATGTAAGATTATGCATGAGAATTTAGGGGATGTTTGGATATAAAATATTTTAACTTTAATGTTATTTGGTTAATTTAAAAGAAAAGTGTTATAGTTAATTGGTAGTGAAATCTTATGTTTATATGAGAATTAAATATTTAAATTTTATTTGATGTAAAAGTATGA